TTCAAATATCATACTTCCTTTTTTTTCTTTTTTTTTTACATGTAATACATTGGCTTTTACACTATTTTTATACTCCACTTTTCCTTCTGGTTGCATATGAGGGCAAGTAGGAAAAAATTTCCATAAATTGAATGGAAAATTTCAATAGAACATTTATTCATAAGAATGGGGACACTGAATGAGACAAACGGAGGGAATACTCAATTTACGCCATGTGAATAAAAACAAATGAGCAAAAAAAGTAATGCAATTAAAAAACCCAACCTAACTAAGAAAGTGAGGAAGAACTATTTAAAGCAAACTACTTTCTTCTGTTTCTTTTTAGTTAATACATTTCTTTAGTCACATTTGTTAATGCACATATTTGACCATTAATATATTTAATTATCGATAAACCAAAATTATGAAAAGTTTTTTTAACAAAATATATATTGTGACAAATCTAAGAAGATCCCTCATAACTATATTATTCATTACATGTAAATAACAAAATACGGTAAAAAAAAGGCTTTTGAATAATACTAAAATCAAAGGATCAACTAAAAAACGGAGGAATATAAATTATAGAAAAATGAATGAAGAAATTAATACTAGAGAGTACAAAATGATGGTGATGAAAATTAGAGGAAAAGCAAGCGCACGGCCACGCTGGAAAGTTAAGCTTGTGTCTCGTGTCTAGAAAACACAAGGAAAAGGACGTGTAATCACGCACTCTGACACAACACCCATGTTAAAGTAAACACTAATTATCTGCTATATCTATCTGTCAAAGGAACGGTCTGGATTAGTCAAATCTACGCAAATGAATGGTCCAGATTAATAGATTACCCCTTACTTTCAGACAAATTTAAGAATTTTCCCACTTAACAAAAATGACACCTACTAGCAAGTGCATAAAATTAAATCAAATAATGCATATAATGCCATTATAGAACAGAAATAAGCAATAATAGAGCCCACGATGTTTTCTGAACTGAAATTGTGTAAATAAAGCTCTTTTAATAAAATGAAAGCCTATAATATAATGAAGTGCATGTAATTAGGTTAATTTGGTACTTACTCTATTATGATTACATTTGGTTGTCAAACTTAGCCACTAGTAGCCTTCTAGGAAATACTTGTGGTAAAACTGGTGGTCCATGATCTAAGATCAATGGATATGTGATATTTAATACTTCATGTTTATGAATGATCCTAACACTTGGCATAGACACTCTTTGCAATTGACAAGTGTTTTATTTGGTTTAAGGAGTGTATTATGGAGAACTATAAGTGAATGAGTATCATATAATAAGTGAATGAGTATCATATAATATATTCTTATCGTTTTTGGGTCAGTAGAAGGAACTGCTACACGTTCTTCATATAAAGTTTTTTTCTATCGGTTAGTCAATTTAGCTACAAGTAAATTTCTCCCTTACAAATAAATTATTAAGCTCATATTCCCTCCGGAATAATTGACACACTTTATCCATTTCTAAATAATTGATACATTGCTAAAAATGGTGAAAACCCACTATTAATATTTTATTGTTTTGTATCTTATACAATGATCCACCACTTTTAAAGCTTATATTAAGATAATTCCCACCCTCATTCAAACATTCTACTAACTTCATTTTACAATGGCCCATATACTATTTTTATAAATAAAATAACATTTCATAAACTTCATGCTCATCTAAATGTGTCAATTAAATGGATACGAAAACAATATTTCATTGTGCAGCAAGCTTCATGATTCTTTGTATTAAATTAGCTTATCAAATTCAACCTCCATTCCGAGAAAAAAAAATTTTAAGGTTGTAGTTTGCACAGAAACCTTTTATATAATTTAAGAGTTGTTTTTCAACATTCAACTACAACGCTCTGGACCCCTAATTCTCAAAATCTAAGCACTCTATTTTTTATTTTTATTTTTTAAAAAAAAAAACCTATAATTTCCACTACTACTATTTTTTCTTTCTAATTATACATACTTCATATAATCGTATCCCTATACCTTTTCAAAAAAAACATATAATCGTATGTATATTCCGTGCGTTAGCACGGATACATTCTAGTTAAGGTAATTGAAAAGAGTGTATTGAATTGTTGATGTGTGTGAATGGATGTGTAAAAAAAGTACTCGTAGATAAAATAAAATTAAAATCGAAAAAGTAGTAACCGTACGTTACAAAATTTAAATAATTTTCTAAAATGGCATATAATCTAGGATTAATACAGTTTTTTAATCCCAACTTTCACCAATTTAGTTTCATTAATCCCAATTTTGGATTATTCCTCAATAATCACAACTTTAAGGTGGCCTATCTTTCTTCAATCTCAAACTGGTCAACAAAAGTCAACAACCTTCTATTGTAGGTTGCTGGACACGTGTCGCCACGTGAGTGGTCCAATTTTAAATTTTTTTTTTTTTTTAGACCAAATTTCTTATAAAAAAAGAAAAAAAAAAGAAAAAAAAAATTTCCTTTTACTTTTTTTCCTTCCCCTTCCTTTCTCTTTCCTCCATTAAATCAGCCTCCTTCCCCTCCCTACCTCCATTAAATCAGCCCCTTCACCTTTAACAACCCCTCCCCCTCCACCTCCATTAATGGCAGCCACCATCCCCTCCATTTCCGGCAGTCACCCCATCCCCTCCATTTCCAGCAACCCTCCTTCCCCTCCGTTTCCGGCCGCCCTTCCACTTCCCCTTGAAACCCCTACCCGAAACCCACCTAAAATCCCCTTTCCCCTTCCATTCCCTTTCTCCTCCATGACTTCCGACCACCCTCTCCTCCCCATCTCACTTCCTTTCCCGACTATATCTCACCAGCCCACCCTCTCATTCTCTCTCCCTGACCTGAAAACCCCACCCAAACCCCTCAATTACAAAGAAAACCCACCCACCTTATCGAAAAACTGCCAAAAAACCCCATCCCATGGCCGATTTTTGGGTTTCGAGATGTTTAACGTACGTTTCGCGGTTGGTTTCATGTGGCTTTGGAGATGAGGTGGGGGTGGGTCAAGTGGCTACGGGGATGAGGGTCAGGGTGGCTATGGATGCAATGGGAGGGGCGATAGGGTTGGCTGGGAGGGAAGCGGCGAAAGGGGTGGCTGAGGTGAGGGGAAGGGCGACAAGGGGGGCTGGGGTGAAGGTATGTGGCTGCGGTGGGTGGTTGGGGGAAGGGTAGGGGATCGGGATTGGGTGGATTTAGGTGGGTGGCTGGGGTAAGGGGGAAGGGAGGATATTTTTTTTTTTTCTTAATTTATTTGATTTAATTTATTTATTTTAATTTTTTAAAGCAATTAACATGTGACACGTGTCAAATAATTTTTTTAAAATTTTTTTTTAACCCTTTCATCAGGTTACCGGTTTTTGGGATTGAAGAAAGATAGGTCACCTTAAAGTTGAGATTATTGAGGAATAATCCAAAGTTGGGATTAATAAAACTAAATTGGTGAAAGTTGGGATTAAAAAACTGTATTAATCTTATAATCTAAAAATACATATCAAAATTATGTATAATTGATGTAATTAATGTATATTGTAATTTATTATACTTTCAGTCTTTTTATCAATGTTCATTTTTGCTTAAGTAAAAAATTGATAAAATGTACTCCCTCCGTCCTTTATTTATATGCCTACTTTCCTTTTTGAGTTTCAAAATTACTCCCTCCGTTTCGCATTAGTTGCAACAGTAGGCTTGGCTCATAGTTTAAGAAAATTATAGACTAGGCTTATAGGCTTATAATGTAAAGTATTGTTAGTAAGAGATAGAAATAATAAGAAAAGTAGTGTAGGTGGGGTTGGTAGGAAAGAGAAATAATAAAATATTTGTGAAAGTGGGGTTAGTGGGAGAGAAAAATTATAAAATATAGTAAGTCCTTTCCAAATATAGTAGTGTTGCAACTAATATAAAACGGCCGGAAATGGAAAGTGTTGCAACTTATGCGAAACGGAGGGAGTACGTGCCTATTTATATTTAAAAAATTTACTTTTTGACAATATTCCCTCTTTTTGATGAGTTGTCATTATTTTTTTTTTTTTTTTTTTTGTACTTTTGACATTATTTTTCCAACACTTTCTCTTTCCATCTCTTTAATAATTATCAACTACCTTTTCTTTCTCTCTCTATCTCTCTCTCTCTAATCCCATATGCATATTTGTACTTCCCAATCATGAATTTTAAGTTCCTTAATTTCCGTGTAAAATGAGAAGTAGACAAGTAATTAAGGGACGGAGGGAGAACTTCAAATGAAATTCAAAAAGGGATTGAAAACGAAAACTTAAACTTAAAGAGTAAATAACTTTGAAAAACAGAGATAGTAGCATTGTAGGTACATCATTAATTAAGAGCACTAATAAGGACTGAGGCCATTTACTTTTTACTGTGATAAATCCATCAAGCAACGGCCTTACTTTCCTAAGTACATAGTAGAAGTCTTTTTTTTTTTTTTAAAGAAAATTTAAAATTATTTTGTAATTCTTTTTCTTTTTTTCTTTAACTGAAATTTAGTGTTTGACCACCCCATTATTAGGTTATTTACGTTGATTTGTTGAATGCTTCAAAAATATTTCATGTACACATTGAATACAACATATATCTTGCTTCAAGATATAATGAGAATCTCCCATCAAAACATCATTTAATGAAAATGAAAACCCACATTACAAAATTTTAAAAGTACGAAGTACTAATCTGTAATATATAAATTCAAGCAACCAGATTTGAATATTTGATTATTCATGGTACTATAGTAGTCCGTATTAAATTAAACTAAACATTAATTATAACCAAGATGAATAACTTTTTATGTAAATTAAGCCAAAATATACTTCGTATTAGTTAATCTTTTCTGTATTAGCCAATTTAAATTAATTTTTTTAACAGGCAAGAATCACAGAACCTTTATTAAAAAAAATCAAATGAAAAAATAGTGCAAAAAAAAAAAAAAAAAAAAAAGAACCACAGAATTAAACCGACAGAGTAAATGAAAAAAGCGCCGGAAAAACATACCGTGAACAAGGGAGAAGAGACTTCCGTTGGGAAAATAATCATAAACCAACAAACGTTCTTCTTTAGCCTGAAAATAAGCTCTTAAAGGAACAATATTTGGATGATTCAATTTCCCTAAAACCTCCAATTGTTTCTTGAATTCCTCCAATTTAGGGTATCTTGCATCTTTCAATCTTTTAACAGTCACAATATAACCTGATTCCATTACCGCTTTATATGTACTTCCTATTGTACCTCTTCCTAACGTTTCTGCCGACGCTTTCAACAAATCATCTAAATTGTAATTCATCACTTGATCACCTAAAAACACTAACTTCCCTAACTTATCACCCTCCCATGAAAACCCTCCTTTTCTCTCTCCTCCGCCACCGGATGGCTCCCCCTTTTCCCTCTCCGCTGTCGCCGCTACTGCCACTACGGTTTGTTCCTCCGCTTGGGATTCCTTCCTGTTTGGTCTGGCTCCCCTGTTCCGCTTTCTACACAGGAGGACTGTCAGTATGATGATGAGTATAATGAGGGCGGTTCCGCCGCACAGTGCTCCAATGAGAATTTTTGCACTACGAGAGAGGCCGTGGAGATGGCGATGGCGATGCTTCAGTGGAGGAAGTGACAATGCCGGGCTTAAAGCCGGCGAAAGAGGGTTACACCCTGCATTGCTGTTACCAATCTGTGTTCCGCAGAGGTTTATATTGTTTAGAAAGGATGATTTATTGAACTGTAACAACGCTGTTGTCTTCGGGATTTCTCCCGAAAGACGATTATTTGACACATTGAAGAATGCAAGGGTTGTTTGATTTAATGGTGGGATTTCGCCACTGAAGTTATTATTATCCAAATACAACATATACAGCCTTGGCAACTGATTAATCGATCCCGGGATCTCCCCAGATAGATTATTATCCGACAGATTAATTATCTTCAGCCGGTGCAGCGATGCGAGAGACGCCGGGAATGGTCCCGTAAATTTGTTGAGGTTGAGGTAGAGCACTTTGAGATTCACTAGTTTTGACATGTCTGGGATTTGACCGGTTAAGTTGTTTGACTTCAGACTGAGGACGCGGAGTTCGTCAAGAAGTGAGAGTGTTGCGCCGGTAATGGTACCGCTGAGGGCGGTGCTTTCGACTACGAGCTTTGAAACTCGGCCTCTCTTGCATTCCCTTACACCTTCCCATGTGCAGTGGTCGGAACCCTTCTTCCATGGAAGGTTATTTAGTGGATCAATTTCACCTTTCAATGCTAATAATGCTTTTGCATCATTATTCTGCGCCATTGAAGAACTCAGGAAGGAGATCATACACAGAAAGACGAGAGCAAGTGACATTATTTTTTTTTGGAAAGAACCGAATAAAATTAGTTTGTTAATGAGGGTAGATTTATTTGACTATTATTGGGTTATTTTTGTATTGATTTTGTTTCCTTTTATTTGTTGAGTCGATACAAGGGTTTTCGACGACGTCAACAAAGATCTTGGAAAAAACATTTGGAGGCGAAGTTTGAATTGGGTAGTCTTGGGAGTATTAGTATGGAAGAAGCAATCACTATCTAAAGTGACTGATTACTGTGATTAGTGAAAAAATGATGCTAACTTGAGATCTATACAATATTGATTCTAAACTAACACATGGTCCCATTTTAGGGGTATGTAGTGTTAAACAGAGGAATTAGTTGTTGAAGTAGCTAAAGGAAAAACTCTGAAAAAAGAGAGAGAGAAAGGCAGGAAGAAGACGGGTACATTAATCAGTCCATTGGAGGAAGAGTGTGAGTGAGTTTGGTTGGAAGAAGTAGGTATGATAGTTAACATTGGAGTTAACTCTTTCCCAGCTAACTGTTTCTTTGCAATAAAAAAATACTATAAATAAAAATAAAACATACAGGGAATACACATTAATCCATGATTACTTTGATTAGTTTGTTTTTATATTCTCTTAGTATTGTTATACATTTGCAAATGCGTAACAAATACTAAAATATTACAAATTACATGGAAAAGAGAGAAAGGTGAGAGGGATCACTTTTAATTGTACCACTGAAAGCTTATATAATACTATTGGTTATTTAGTGATACTATATATGCACGTAGTTAGTACCACTGAATGCATATATAGTACCACTACATACATACATAATACCACTGGATATTCAATGGTACTATTTGATCATCCAATTGTACTATTGATTTCTCAATGATACTACTCTAAAATCAGAATATACATTACGTGTAATTACGCACTTACCCCTCGTTATGCAATTGTTTATGCATAACAATACTCCCTTTAAACTCCCTCCCTCTCATAAAATTTTTATGTCATGGAATTAAATCGGGTCAGGTTGATATGTAAGAGGCTTTTTACTAATTAGATATTAAAAAAAAATGTTAGCATGATTTAAATTATTAAGTACTTTCTCCACTTTCTTACGAGTCTCACTTTCTTTGAATACATTGTTTACGTAATATACTTTGGTCAATATTGGTGAATTATACATATAAAAAGCTAGTAAAGTGCCCGTAAATGCACCATTTATAAATCATATTGTTAAATATATAGATAGTTTAAAACAAATTTAGTTTTATATCACACGTACCTACAAATTACCTGCCTCATTTTGACCATTTTTTTTTTCTTTTTTTACTATTTATCTATTGTAACCATTTTTTTGCTAATATATGAGAAAGATTTTAGTACGTAAGATAATATTTGGTTTAATAAAATCAGTGGCGGACCTGCCTTTGTGCCTGGTGGGTCAAATGACTCACCAGGGCCCAAAAAAAATATAAGTTTTTTTAAAAAAAAAAAAAAAATCCTGGGTGCTAAATCATCATCTACCTCCAAATTGTTACTACTACAGCGAATTGTACCCTGAAATTATGCTAAAATTAAGTTAATCATATAATTTGGAGTAAAATTGAATGAAAATGTGAGAAATTGGGAATCATACAGGAAGTAGTAGAAATGGTGGGAGAAGAGAGAGAAGGGAGTGTTGAAAGGAGGGAGAGTGACACCATTATTAGGAGGAGAGAGAAAGTGAAAGAGATGGAATTTTGGAGCCAAAAAAAATGGTGAAAAACCAAAGAATGAAGGAGTATTATGAGGTGGGATGTGTTTTGCTGATATCTGTGGAGACTGGAAAGCGGAAGTGGGGTTTTTTAATTGGATATCAATATATCATCTCTTATCCTAATCAGTCTATTCATCTGATTTCAGAAACTCTGTAGTTAGAGTTCGGCATGGTCCTATCGTGCCAAAAAAAAATCTAAGTTTTTTGTTCATTTTCCATTGCACTGAAACTGGTTGATGATTTGCTTTAGAGAAAGAGGGTACAAGAACAGAGGATATATGGTTTCTGGGTTTTTGGATGTATTTTTTAGTACTATTATTTGGTTGTTTGATAAACAAAATTTTTTACATATTTGGTTATCAATTGTGACTCACCAGTCGAAAATTACTGGGTCCGCCACTGAATAAAATATATATTTTCAAATATTCACTTTTATTTCCCTTTTAGTTTCCTTTCATATCCAAAACTCCAATTGAATTATTGTACATTATTGTTTTTGGGTTAATTAGAAATATAAAATAAAATTAAGTGAAAGAAAAATATTGACAAAGTAAGAGAAGTGGTTTAAAGTGTAATATTTTCAATTCATATGCTCCATGTACTCATATATTAAATAAATAGTGATTTAGTGATTTTTGTGTTATGTAATTGTGTGAGAATTTTAGATTTCTTATAAATTGTTTGTAAGTATCTTTTGACTATATTTAATTAATAAAATTTATTTTTTATCTGTCTAAAACAAATACTGATTAAAATTTTTGGTCAATATACTAAAAATTATAGTAGTCAAAATATTAATTCAAATACCGTGATTTGTCAATATGGACCACATTTTTGGGACGGGTGGGCTACATGTATATTTAGTGTTCATTATAAATGTTTCTCCTTCCAAAAGTAGTAGTGGGTTATTAGATTATATTGGTAGCTTTTCCTTCCTAAATAAACATTCGTCATAACTTTAACACAAATTATTGGGTGCGGACGTTTGCACCCAATGTTTGGTGTGGCCATTCTCCATTTTCCGCCTTTTCCCTTTTCTTCTCTCTGAAAATCAGAAAACTGAACCTTTCTCTCTCCTCTTTCTTCCAGCGATTTGCGATTGCTATGATTTGCAATTTGCGAAATTGCTGTTGGTGGCTGTGGGAATTGATGTGGCGAGGGACGTTCGTTGGTGGTGCTTCTGGTTTGCATGGTGGGCTGGGCTCTGGCAGGAAGAAGAGAGAGTGGTGGTGCGTTGTGTTGGTGGTGGGTGCGGTGGGTTCGATGGACGGTGGATCAGTGGGGTAAGGTGGTGTGAGGATTGGTGAGTGGGGTTTTGGTGAACCTGCCATTGAAGGGGAGGAGAGAGAAAGTGGTGAAGTAGATGATGAAATTAGTGAGATGGTGAACTTGCCATTGAAGGGGGAGGAGAGAGAAAATCATTTGTTGGTGGGGTTTTTGTGTTTTTGGAGAACGTGAGATTAGTGATTCTTGTTTGTTTTTTGTTGTTGTTAATAAGCATATCTGCCAAGAGGAGAGAGAAAGAAATAATTTGTAGTTGTATATACTTTGTATATAAGCCAATTAATGTCTTATATCAGTTAATATTAGGGTCATATCAGACATTAATAAAATGTGTCAGCCAACAAAAGATATATATCAGCCAATAAAGAGGAATACATCAGCCAATAAAAAGAATATATCAACCAACAAAAGATACTTATCAGCCAACCATAGAAACATATCAGCCAACAAATGAAGCATATTAGCCATCAAATGAAGCATATCAGCAAACAAAAGCAACAGGTAAACCAACAAAATAAACATATCAGCCAACAAAATGAAACATATTAGCCAACAATTAAAATATACATATCAGCCAACAAAATAAATATATCTGCCAATTAAAGAAGCATATAAGCCAAATGATGTCTGATAGCAGCCAACAAAAGGGAAAAAAAATATCAGCCAACAAAAGGAAAAAAAAAAATATATCAGCCAACAAAAAGAATATATTAGCCAACACAAAAATCATATCAGCCAACAAATGAAACATATCAGCCAACACATAAAACATATCACCCAACAAGTAAAACATATCAGCCAAGCCAGCCGCACAGAAATCTGCGTGATATGTTTTACTTGTTGGGTGATATGTTTTATGTACTGTGTTGGCTGATATGTTTCATTTGTTGGCTGATATGATTCCGCTACCACATATCATGACCAAGCCAGCCGCACGCAATAGCTTCTCTAACTTTAATGCGAAAAATCATTGTTTCACATGACGAGTTTTAATGGAAGTATTGCTATGTATCTATTGGTACATAACAAGGGTATAATGGTAAATTAGTACAACAACAAAAAAGGTAATGGGACCACACATTGTCATTTTAATTTTATGTTTTAGTTGTATCACTACAGTCATTAGTACCATTACAACTAACTAATTATTATACGATTACACTACCAATGACATGATTTCACAACCTAGTGGTACATATATTAGTTTCAAAATTATACCACTGTAACAATCTTTAATACCATTAAAATTATTTGTGGTACTATTCTACTATCAGTGGTATATTTCACATCTCAGTGATACCAATGTTAATTTTTAAAATATTTACTAATTTTAATGTTGTGTACCAACAAATACATAATGATACTATGCATTACTACTTCCTCGATTCACATAGGGTAGGCAAGTGACATATAGACCTGCCAATTGTGTGATTTGGATCAATTTCGGGTTACATTAATTCGGATTGAATTATTTCAAATCAACTCTACAATTGGATTGGATTTTAGGTAAGATTGCGTCAATCTCGATTTCAGGGTTAGGTTGAGACTTAAAGTCAATATCATATTTTATTATTATTTTTATTATTATTATTAATACTTCTTACGTTACATATATGTGCAACTTTTAAATTTTTTATGTCTCACAAATATTACTCAAAAGTATTTGGGGAAGAAGCATACATATTTTGTACTAATGTAAATCAATAATTCACTCTAAGATGGGTTATATTTGAAAATATAATACTCCATCAAAATATACACTAAATTAGAAAACAAAATAAAGTTTGAATAGGTATAATAAAAATGCACAAAAATTTACACCCTATAATTTTTTTTAATTACTTGATAATTAAAAAAAAAAAATGTTTCAAAGCAAATTATCACTTTTGATGTTAAAAACTATCCTTTTTCCCTAGAATAAAAGGACTCTTTTTCACTCCACTTTGAGCCTAACAAAATCTATACTAAATATTGATATACTTTTACAGACATTGTATGGACTTGGAGTAAGTAGGATAGGAGTAACGAGCTTACCGCCAATGGGGTACTTGCCTGCAGCCATTACACTGTTTGGAGGAGGAAGCAACCAATGCGTAGTAAGGCTTAACAAGGATGCTGTTTCAATTAACAGCAAACTGAATGGCATGGCACAGAACTTGCAGTCTAAACACTCGGATTTGAAATTGGTGCTCTTTGACATCTACCAGCGTCTCCTAGACATCATAGCACATCCCATTGAAAATGGTAATCTCTCTTCCACCTACACACCTGGTATCAATAATTAGATTTCCTGTAAATGGTCTGATAGAAATAACATAGTGATGCATTATCTTGTTATGTTTACCTTTGTATGTGATAGAGTTATGAGAAAGAGAATGTTAGAAAGCTTGATTATATCGATGATTATACAAGAGTATTTATAATACATAAGTAAGCATTAGACTATGACTAGATATTAGAGTATATGTCTAGGTACATTAGATAATAGTTAGGTAAATCTTTGACAATCAACCTAATTGTGTAAATCACGGAGTAAATCAAGGGATAATGATATTGCTAATATCATTATCCTTTACACGCCCCCGCA